TATATATATATATATAATCACTATGCAGTGTTTCTTCTGGACAAAGTAGGGCATCTGCAGTATGGTTGAAATCATTACAATAATAGCAAGGATGTATTGATTTTCATGAATCATAAACTGGTATTATATGCCGAATCATCCCACATGAACATATTGCTGTGCATGATGAGGACCTTTTTAAGCTAATAATGACAATTAAAGAGATATTTCTTAACATTCATATGTAATGTTGGAGGATTCTTTTTTTCCCCTCAATGTTTCCCCTGTTATTTGTTTTGGTCGTGGTCTCCACAGAAGCAGGTTCAGCAGAGAACCAGGGTGCAGAGCTGACGGACACCCAGTCATCAAACCCTGCTCTCCAAGGAGAGACTGTTGCAAACGTGCAAAGTGACATCAGGTGAGGGAACACGAGGAATCCTTTCAAGAAATCATTACTATATTATCTTTAAGGGGGAAATGAACACACAGCTTTATTCCAATTCCTTTTAAATGCATATTGGCGAGCACCAACTTGTTCAGGTTGTTAGACACTTAACCCCAAAAATTGCTCCCGTAGCTGTGCCTACGGTGTAGAAATGTGATAGAATCTGAATTGTAAGTTGCTTTGGATAAAAGCATCTGCTAAATGACTGTAATGTAATGTAATGTAATGTAGACTCACACACTTGCTTGTGTTTCTCTCCAGTGTTTTAGATCCAGAGCCCACAGTTCGAAGCAGCAGCAGCAGCAGCAGTCAAGCCATCACAGGCTCTGTTTCTCAGCCGAAAGCTGTGTTAGAAGTGACACAGTTAACCTGCATCCAGAAGGCTAAAACCTGGACAGACCCACACCACATGTCTCGTAACGCCATTCAGCGCCAAAACCGCGTTCGCCAAGGAGTCCAGCATCACTCCTTCCACCTCCAGCAGCCAGGACATCGCAACCTCAGCCACTGAGGCTCTGGTTGTAAAACTGCAAATGTTAAGCGTGAAATAATTAAGACGCATTGCACTTCACACTCCAATACACACACATTTTTGTCTTGTGCACATTTAAGCTATACATCTGATCTAGATGTAACCCATCACAACAACATGACAACAGGCAGCGACATTATATATAAATATATACTCGTACTGTATAAGAATGTTGAAATGAAGATGTTCACCTCATGAAATGAGATGCACTATGTTTTCATGTTTGTGTGCATGTGGATGAGTGCATCCTTTGCAAAATGTATCTTCTAGCATTTTGGACATTTTCTTTGCGTATCGATGTGCATTTATTTAGCTTTGTGTAATTGGTGAAAATCTTTTTTTATACGGCAATAAAAATGTTGACTTTGCAGCTTGTGCTTTTATTTTATTTTTGTCAAATTTTCAAATGTCCAAATGGCAGTGAACTGCTGACAATTTGACGGATGCAAATGTTGAGATCTCATTGGTTGGGGGGTAATTGCACCTGCTGTGTTTGATTACATGGTTAGCTAAGGGAGGGGTGCAGTTTATGGACTTTTACAATCAGGAGGCCTGTGAAGAACTGTGTTCGTGAATTGACTTAGTCTGTGTGTGAGTACAATGAAAATGGAAGTTTCTCCTGAAACAAAACTTAACAAGCAGTTAATATTCAGTTACAATAGTTTTGCTGGTTCATCGGAATTGGCTGATGGCTCAAGTGACTTCACCTGTGACTTGAATAAAAATGGTGAGAGGGTATAAATGTAGCAGAAATGGTTTACAATCCTAGCTATCGGCACACAACATGCTGCTGTATTACTCTCCCACTGACTTACACCTGGCATGATGCTAATTTGCAGCACTGTGTGTAAATCACCTGATTAGATGTCAAGGGAGAAAACATGCAGGGATTGAGCACCTGGGCTGAAATTATTAAATGGCTTGCAAACCCAAAATATTTCTACTGTGGTAAAGGTTTGAATATTGTTTCGTTGCTGCTGCCACAGACCTCAGCCATCTCCCAAAGGACGTCCCTCTGAAACAGCTGGCCTCTGGTAGCCCAAATGTGTTGGACTGTAGCCTGTCCGACCTCAAAGAGACAGACAAGGACCGCTCCAGTCAGGACACAGCCATTTGCGTCTATGCTGTATCTATCACCTTTGCCATTGGAGTCACCTTTGCTTTGATCCTGCATATTTATCTGGGTGTAAGCTTGGTATGTAGTGTAATATAACATGTAACTATTACCACAATTGCATTATTTATCCTCATGACAGTTTACTTCTCAGGTGTTTGTGAAAGGTGTGGTGGTTTCGGATCGCGAGCGCTGCACTGCACTCGGCCAGACGGTCCTTCGTGATCGTGGATCCAGTGTGGATGCAGCCATCACTGCCACCCTGTGTTTGGGTGTTGTGCATCCACATGTGTCAGGTGTTGGTGGGTACGTGACTGACTTAATGCTGATACGCTCAGTGTGAAATACACATGGACGCTTCTGGTCTCAAATTCATCCTTTGCTCATTCTCTTTCTGTAGAGGTGGGCTGATGCTGGTTCATGACATCCAAAGGAATGAAACCAGGGTGATTAATTTTCAGGGAACTGCACCGACAGCACTTAAAGAGGAGATGCTGCAAAGTGTTTCTGAACTAAAGGTAATGTAGAGGTGTGTGTGTGGGGGGGATCGATCACTTTATTTAACATGTATAATTTATTTCATCCTTTTAGGCAGGTCTGCAAGTGGGTGTGCCAGGTCTGCTCAGGGGGTTACAACATGCTCACAGCTTGTATGGGAGGTAAAAGAGTTGAGACAGAGTGAAAATGAGTTTGTGTTTAGCTTTCATCCTTAAATCGGATATCTTACCACAAAATCACTGCAGGCTATCATGGGAGGATGTGGTCACCAGAGCCGCAGCTGTTGCCAAAGAAGGTTTCAATGTATCTCTCAGTCTTGGTGAGTCAAACCATCCCTCTTTACATTTCCTCACTTAACCACATTACTCGCAATATAACGTAGTGGTGTGTTCTGAGAAACGAAAACACCAGCATGTGACTCATTTGTGTAATTCTACAGCTGAGGCCATTTTAAAGGTAAAAGGTGAGCGGCTGTCGCAACGTTTCAGGGACACGTTCATGCCAGGTGGCCGAGCTCTGATTCCTGGTTCGTTTCTGAGGTCGTCCAGTCTGGCTGGAGTCCTCGAGGCTGGTCTGCCAAACTTCTATGATGGGAACTTCTCACGAGAGCTGGAGGATGAGGTGAAAGACGTCCAGACATCAAATAGGTTCCTGTTTTGTGGGCAAAGTTGGAGTGAAATTTGCTTTTAATCTTTTAGCGACTGCTATTATTCCAGTGTCAGTGATGCTGTGTTTTCATTCAAAGGTGCGAAGAAATGGAGGAGTCCTGAGCAGAGAAGACATCAGTAACTACAGTGTACAAGTAGAGCAGCCAGTGGAAGGCCTGTACAATGGTAAAGACCAGACTTTCTTCAACAATAGACTGCATAAACATGTATGCATTCTTAATACCTTCATCTATATTTTGTTAATCTTGTCTTAGAATTTATTATCCAAGTTCCTCCTCCCCCCTCTACTGGTGCAGCGTTGATATCGGCGCTCAACCTTTTGGAGGGCCTCCAGCTCAATGGGAACAATAACACAGGAAATCAAACGCAACACTGGATTGCCGAGGTACTGGAATGCAAACCTTGCATGTTTTTCACAATTGCGGCCTGGCTGAAATGGTAGATCTCCTACATAGGAATTGTTTATTTCTCCCTATTAAGGCTCTGAAAGGAGCTTTGGCTATAGCCAGTGGTTTGGGTGACCCTTCCTCTAACTCTTCAGTGACTGAGCGGCTCTCTGACATGCTGAGGTGAACTACATATAGGAGTCACACTTGCAAATAGTGCGGCAAATAAAGATTTATTTTCATTATTGATTAATCAGACTTTTTTCCTGATTCTTTTGTCTATGAAATGTGAGAAAGTAGGAACATTAACCCTAACATATAGTACGACAGGTATCATTTTCTCTCTGCTCTTGCCAAAGTATGAGTCAAGCTGAAATGCTTCGCCAGAGGATCAATTCCTCCCATACCTCTCCACCTGAGTACCACTCCTTACGGACAGAGCCGATGGCTGGGCAAGTAGTAGTCGTGGGGCCAGATGGACTCATCGTGTCAATTGCGAGGTGAAGGTGTGAGATCTACAGGATATGTGTGGAATGTGCTGCTGGGTGCACTGACATTCTTTTATCTTATCTTTTTTGTCTGTATGATCTCAGTTCCTTGAGCACGCCATTCGGGAGCAGAATCATGACTGGGTCGGGTGTCATTCTCAACAGCCTCATCCTTGACTTCTCCTGGCCAATCAAAACCTCAGGGCGACGCTTAACCAATCAGGTACCATTAGAAATCGCACCATTTCACAAAGTATTTTTCTTTTAGGTAAGGCTCACTGTTATCCATTTGTGCTATAGAATAACAGAGTCCAGCCGGGAAAGAGGCCCCAAACATCTCTCATGCCCACAATAGTGGTGCCAGCGCAGCATAAATGTGGGATCTACATGGCACTAAGCGGTTCAGGTGGACAACAGGGTCTGAGTGTGATCACCCAGGTTTGACCACTTTACATCATAAAGGTTTGGATTCTGATTTAATGGAAGAAGTTATGATTTTTAAAACATTTACAAATTTTGACTTTCTGTGTGCTTTAGGTGTTGATCAGTGCACTGTCCTTCCACAAAGAGAAAAATGAAAGCCTCTCCCCAAAAGGACTCCTCCCTAATCGTCAGCCAAACAGACGTCTTGTTGACCGTAAGTTGACCTTTTCCCTTATTGACATCATTTTTTTCATAGTAATTTCCTACTTTCCTAACTCTTCATCATCAGCTGAGTTTCCAGAGGAGAGGGTGCGGTTTGAAAAGGGCCGCACAGTAACGAGAGTGAAGACGAACTCTGTTGTCCAGGGGATCCTGAGGAACAAAGACATCATTACTGCCATAACGCCTCAATTATCTGATCTTTTGTTACAGTTCTCATGAACTTTTTATTGTGAAAAATCTTCCAAGAGCATGTTATGGTAGCATCTGGATGAGCTAATGTTCCACTGCATGATGTAAGTTTATAGTTGTTCTGTGCTTGATACTCTCATGTTATTGTGATCCCCAGCCAGCAGAGGGCAGTCATCCAACATGTACTTTCTATTAGGGCAAATTTGTCTATCCATAAGAAATGTCTTCAAAACCGATTAAAGGAATATCGCCATCATACTTGAGCTCCAAGCTGATGTGTCGTGATGGATTTGCGAATGCTGGATAACAGGCGAAGGTTTTATGCAGGTTGAGGTCACATGGCCACGCATGCATGCTGAAAATTAGGGCTGTTATGCAAAGCTGATGTGCCTTCAAGATACTGTCTGTCCACCATACCATTTGTGTTGCCGTGTAGGACGTGCAGCTATGTCATGTGTTAAGCCTGCACGCAGACAAACGTATGTCACTCTAAACGTTGCTTTCAATCAATCGTTTACTGTAGACATTTTTTCTTATCTGTTGACTCTGTTTCTTTGTAATATTCCAACGCATCTTATAGAATCTGTGGCCTCCAATGTGTTTTTTTTAAAAATGACAATGAAAATCAAGACTTGTCATACAAGTTTATTCTGATAAATTAAGCTGATAAATTTAGGCTTATGTCAGATCATAAACTGTGCAGTTTATGTCAGAAAGCACTAGAAGACGAGTCAAAGGTCATGAGATCTCAAAATGCTTCACGACAGTCTCAGTAAATCAATGCTATAACTGAGAGCTATATGCATTTCCCTTTCAGGTTCCTCTGACCACTTGCTGCACACCGTTTGAGTTTACTGGAGGCTATCTGTGCGATAACTGTCCCCAGCGGTCATACGGATGGGCAGTTGTATGTGAAATTAGCAGCCACTCTTAGTTCAAACATATAGTCAACAATATCATCCCTTTTTCTTATCTAATTTAGTCATGCATCTCGTTGCGAGATTTTCAGGGCGGAGAAGTTGGGAGCTGCCAAGTGGGCGTTGTCTGTCAGATGCAGGTCAGTACTTAAGCGCCCGCAGGTTATTTCATCTACTTTCATCAACAAAGCAAGAGGAAGAGATGCTCTCACCTGCTTTTGTTGGCAATTAATTCATGCTTCGCGGAGTAATTTCCCTCGACAAATAAAAACGGTAAGTAAGCCAGCGGTTTGTACTTTCCCAAAGGCTAAACTGACTCTCTAATGACTCTCTAATGATGATTAGAAATGTGCAACGTTGCAGAGCAAGTTGGTTTAACTTAAATTTTTATCGTGCATCTAAGTTTCCATATTCAAGCTCGCTCTTAGAGGGACGTGTTTGAATTGTATTAATCATATTGTAATAAGTATATACTTATAAGTATATAAGTATATACTTATTACAATTGTAGGCGAACTGCTAAATTAATCGTGAGTAGCCTACTGTTTAACAGTTTTAATCGTTTTAACAGTTTAAAACTGTTTAACAGTTTTAATTCGTCTGTAATAAAGTTTCTCCCCACTTCGTAAGCTTTTTAAAGTGTCGCTATGAGCCATTAGATAGATGTATACTAATGTGCCGCTGTTGTATTCCTACAGCTTAACGGCTTCTGTAAAGCCCATTTACCTGCTTCAAAGCCGTTTAACAGACTACACTGTAGTGGAAACATGGAGCCCAAAGCCGTTGTTCTGAAGGAGAAGTTTTTCATCGTGATACGCGGGAAGTCGAGGAAAGGCTTCTGTCGAGGATGCATCGGCCGCGTGGAGGCGGAGCTGCAGCGCGGAGAGCTGACGGGGCTGCTGTACGGCGGCGGCGGAGGCGGCACCGCGGGGAGCCCCAAGAGCGGAGGTGTGAGGAGGGAGGACACGTACCCTCTGACCCGACACCAGGCGCAGCTGCTGCTCTTCGTTTCCCCCGCGAGCAAACGCCTGGAGCTGCTGTGCAACCCGCAGCTGTTCTCGGCGATCTGCGAGCTGTCTCAGGACGACCTGGTGGTGGTGAAGCACAAGAGGGGACACCTGCCGGGGCTGATGAAGAACCTGATGGAAATTGGGAGGAAGGAGAACAAAGACGACCTGCACATGCTCGGCTTTGAAGTGGAGTTTGTGGTGGGTGAAGTTGTTCGTCTGATTTTGTTGAGTGTTTATCTGTGTTCAATACACAAGAGTGTTGAGTTTCTGTTTTTCTTTGTCTCTCCTCTATAGGACAGTGATCACAATCTGTCATCTAAGAAACCTGCACCCCTTCCCCTGTTCAGTGCAGCAGACATCGTCCAGGTGGTCCCATCTTACGCCGTTCCCAATGGTCTGCAATGGAAAGACGGCCAATGTGAGGGTAAGTAAAGTGGAGAAAGTCGCAGCTTCCCTGACTCCTTCAACGTCAACATTTGCCACTTCTTCCCCACAAGATCAAAATATATCCCTTTGGTTTAGGATAATGAATCGAACCCTTTTCTTTTTTTTTTCTTTTTTTTTTTTTAAATTGCTCCATTCAGATAATTAAATCCTTCTATTGAAAGATATCCAGGAAGCATGTGACTCCACAGGGGGTGCAAAAGAAGCGGTACCAGTACACAACTGGAATAACTGGTCCTGTTGCTGTGATATGTGAAACCGCAGATTCATCACATGGTCTGGAGGTTTGGCACATAGTGAACTCTCAGCTGTCTGCATACCTCGTATGTAGTAGACCTGTGCGGTGTTAGCCTGAGGTCAATCTGATGAGGCAGCATGTGACGAGTCTAAAAAAAAAACGACGTCTCGTTATTTCTAACCGTTCGGCTTCCGTACCTCTCCACAGGTTTAAACAGAAAAGGGGTGACGCGCATCAATTCCATGCCGAATATAGGATCTCATGCACGACACGTCAGGGAGAACCGCACGGAGCAGGGTGTCATTCAGAGCCAACCTTCGAGCACGTCTCATGTGTCTCTGGAGGTGGGCTCCATGGTGGAGGTGGTGTCCAACTCGGGTGTCACAGTGTACGGGGTCATCCAGTGGTTGGGGGTGCCAGAAGGGAAGACCAACAAATGGGCTGGGATTGAATTGGTGAGTGACTTAAAATGTTGCAGAGTTGTGTTTTTCTTTCAGCATCTCCCTGATTTTTTTTATTTTTTAAATTTTTTTTCATTGTTTCAGGACTATGACGTGAACGGCTGCTCTGATGGGAAGCACGGAGGCCAGAGGTATTTCACCTGCAAAATGGGCAGAGCTTTGTTTGTTCCCGTCGCAAAGTGCAGCCCCGATGGCAGGTTCGTCTGCTCGTCTACAGGGACGGAGAACCTCAACCCCGCAGACGCACCTCCAGGTTAGACACTTCTCCCAGTATGGTGGGACATGCATACTGATATTACATTTTACATTTTTAGTTGTGTTATACAAGACAATTTGCAAACTCTTAACTTTTGATCAGGGAGCCAGTATTGTGTAAAGTTAGTGCATAAAGCTTGAGGGAGAGGCGTTTGTCATTCCTCTCATTACGTGTCATTTATGATTCACACATCCTCACAGAATCCAGGTTGTAATGTCACTCGGGTTGAACATAAGTTTAAACGTCTGACTTCTTTTCACACCCTTCTGAAGAGAAATTGAGTCCCATGCTCCTGAAACAATGCACAGTTTGTGGCAGTGTTTTTATCAGTGAACTTCCTGCTTTGGAAAAGCAGGTTAATCACTATTCACAGAGACCTGTGTGATTGTTTAAGCCCGGTAATCTAAAGCTATGAGTAAAATGCTGAGGTTTGTGTTCAAATGCCATTTTGAGATCTGTTATTGTATGCTTGTTTGTTGTTTTCAGTTCCTCCATTTGAGGACCCAGAGGAGGATGTACCTCCTATTCCTGAATCCGAGGCCTTGTCTTTGTTAGTGGGACGAATGAAAGGGATTCAGGGTCACATCAACTCCTGTTACCTCGATGCAACGCTCTTCAGGTAAAACCAGTTCAATGCCTCTCAGGACAAATGATTCTCAAGAAGCACACTGGTGCAAACGCAGCTCGGATTTAATTTAGTCTCTCGTTATCTCGAGCAGTTTTATTATGAGAACATGTACAACTCAATGAGCACGGTGAACTGTATTCAGATAAGTGGCGAGTTGATAAAACAATGTGGTTTTCTGTCTTCAGTTTGTTCGGCTCATCCGTGACCCTGGACAACATCTGCAGAAAACCTGCTGACACGGAGAAACCCATAACCTGCACTCTAAGAAAAATAGTCAACCGTTTGCGCAGGTATATAAACGCTGTCTTCAAGACTTTGTTTCTCTAAAAGCCTTGCATTATCATCTAGTCTGCAATACAAGGAACATAATGACATCTTACATAATATCAGATGGTAAACAAGTACTCTCTGTCTTAATGATACGGGTAGTCTTAATCCACTGGTAAACACAAAGAAGTGCATGTGCTTAAAGCTTTCTCAAACATAGGACATGTCTCCGTGTTTGCTCCTGATTGTGTCGGTGTGTACTTGTGTTTGCTTACTGATAGCTGATGTATTTATTGCAGACACGGGTTCGTGCCTGCAGTGAATGTGATGAATTTCCGTAAAGAGCTTGGCTGCGACACCTTCCGAACAGAGGAGAAAGGTACACGCTCGTATCTTGCAACATGCATTGTTAGAAATGATATTCCAACAATGTGTCTTTTAGTCATTGCAACATTACATAATGAAACCCACTGTTAAAGTTATATATGTTTTTGATTGCTCTGCTTTACTGCAGACCCAGAGGAGTTCATCACAGTCCTCTTTCAGAAGGTGCTTTGCATGGAGCCGCTGCTCAAGCTCAGGTAGGATCTTAAACTGCCCAGTATTAAATATCCTGTGTGACTGCGTAAAGTTACTGAAATTCAGTTTTTCCTTTTTTAGATCGGGACCAGAAACATGCCAGGGTGCCTACACCTTCCAGATCTTTCTGGAGAAAGAACAGATGGGACAGATGCCCACTGTCCAACAGCTGCTGGACACGTCCTGCCTGTCTGGGGACCTCAAGTTTGAAGAGGTGAGCGTTTGCTCCTGTTATAAGGAAAATAAGCCTTTTGTGGTTTATCAAGTTTTCTTCTGTACATTAATGTAATTGCCTTTTACTATTTGTGTCTCAGATGCCGTCCTGTCTAATGGTTCAGATGCCGAGGTTTGGAAACAAGTATAAGATGTTCTCTCACATAATTCCCTCCACCGAGCTTGACGTCACAGATCTCCTATACAACTGTAAGAAACGGAGCTAGTCTGCATTGATTTAAATTCTGTAGCATATGAATTATTTTTTTATAATTAATTAATTACTTTTCCCAACAGCTCCAAGGGAATGCTTCGTCTGTGGGCAGTTGGCAGAGTACGAGTGTCTTCAGTGTCTACCAGATCGCAAACTGCAGCCAGGGAGAATAAAACAGTACTGCTCTACCTGCAACACACAGGTACGCCCAGACAGCCATTTTAGATGTCCAGTATCTCGCTGACCAAACCTGGAAACATGTTAAACTCTCTACTTATTGTTCTTTCAGGTGCACACCCATCCCTCCCGGCAGGGTCACTCTGCCAAAGCTCTGGCAGTACCAGCAGATGCGGCCTCTGGTTCTCCTGTGCCCAGGCACATGATGCAGCTGTTTGCTGTGCTCTGCATTCAAACCAGCCACTATGTGTCCTTCGTCAAATTCGGCCCTGATCCTCACTCCTGGCTCTTCTTCGACAGCATGGCAGACAGATGCGGTAAGATAGATTTCAGCTTGTTTTATTTATTTAAATTAATAGGTTGTTTCTTGGCTTAAGTAAGAAATCTTTTTCCTTCCATTAGTGGCATTATAGAATCAACAAATCGTTTTATTCTGATGTTCGTGCAAACTCTGCCTTGTTTTGTTTTTCTTACAAAGTGGTTTACCATGACTTGCCTTATTTGCTGATAAGGCAGCTTCGACAGTGTTGGATAAAGCCACACTCTGACGTCTACGACTGGTCTTTATCTCTTGTTAAACTGATCTAATCTTAAGGCTACTCGTTCTGACAGGTGACGATCAACGCGGCTACAACATTCCTGTGATCCGAGCTTGTCCGGAGTTGGGTGACTTCCTGTCCCAGCCGGAGGAGGAGCTGGCTTGTTCCAACCCCTCCCAGGCATCTGAGCTAGTGCGCAGGCTGCTGTGTGACTCTTACATGTTTCTATACCAAAACCCAGCCGCCCCACTTTCAAAGCCAAACCAGCAGGAGTCTTGTGAGGACGAGGACATGCCGTTCCAATAACAGTGCCTTAATAACCTTGCATCTGTGCGCAATCAACTGGATTTTGTGTTTGTTATTACATACAGGAAGTGAAACGGATGCTTCTAACGTCATGGAGGAAAATAATACTGCTGAAGAGAAACTGACTATGAATGATCGTAGTTAAAGTTGATGCAGATGTGTAAGAAGAAAAAGAACGTCAGTCGGTGCTGAGGCTAACTGCCCCCTCTCAGACACACTGTGATCACTTAAACACTGCTCTCCAAACACCAATGAGAGTCAAACTAACTATAACACAATGTAAAGACAACTCTAGATTAGAATGTTGTCTGTCCCTAAAGAGAGACCTTGGATTGGCAGAAAATCTCTCTACTGTCAGAGATCAAGTACAGGCTCAGACCACAAACTGGAAGACACACACACACAATCATGGCAACCAAAGTAAAACAGTGTGTGGTCACTGTTGGGGAGACTGAGACAGAGAGGCACTTCCTCCTAAATTGTAACACATTAAATGAAATGAGGAACGATTACTTTGACAAATTCAACTCTGTAATCCCAGATTTTGAAAGAGCTTAATGACTTCTCAAAATTGAAAATGGTCCCATGAGGAGAATTTGAGGCATATCTTGTGTGTATCAACATGCCACAATCTGACAGTGAATGACCTAGATACACATACATGCGTTTGTTCAAATGTAATTGTAATACTGTACATATATCTTCATTACACAACAATCGTATTGTGTTGATATTAATATTATTGTGTACTTTTGTTTTTTGATGCTTTTGGCAACATTGTTTTTGAATGCGCAGTAAAATATTACACTCTGAACTCATCAATGCCTTCTTTACCTCTTGAATGTCTTACTGTTGTTACACTGAGGAATATTTAGGAGGTCTCCACTTTGAGGTTGAAGGTATGGCTGAGAGTGAGCATGGTGAATGACATCGGCATAGTTTCTTTCTAACTTGCTAAAAAGACAGTGCACCTGACCCTACCCTCCCCTACATGTTGTACTTTGTGTTGAATTTACTGTAAACAATTTAACTTTTTGCAGATTTTACAAAGGCATGTTACTGGATCTGTGATATTGTATTTTTCATCAATCAAATTTCAAAATTGCAGTTGGAAATCAGTGAATTATCGGTGAACAGAATTTTATTGTACTAAAGATTTAGCGTGCAGAGCCCCTCTAAGCAGATACACCAGCGCCTATCTCTCATTTACAGTGTGGAGTCATTTTAAAAAGGACATCTAAAACCTCTTTATGCTAAATCCTAAGAGTCTAGACATAAGGTAGTGCTTTGAAGGTTCTGTGAGGACAGGTGAGTCCTTTGAGGTAATATATATGGACTGCAATGCCCTCTTGTGGACAAATTTGAGTTTGCTGTGAACATCCTAACTAATCATTTATTTATTTTAATATAATTTTCTTATTACCAGTCAGTATACAGGCCCACTAAATCACACAAGTATGTACATTATTTTTCATAACCTCTGAGGGGTGAAACCTTCATGATGAAATAATTTAAAAATTGCCCATAAAAGTTGCTTAACAAATGTTAAAGTGCAAGCTGCCATGTCATTATAATAAATGTACAAAATACTTTAAAAAGCTGGTGTTTTCCGATGCTGTAATGTGTATTCAGATAGATTAAATTATACAGTTATTCAGTAGTCATCTGTCAACCGTAAAAACACTACACATCTTCATTCATCCTCTAAAGATGATGCAACACTATTTTTTTTAGGACATGTCAGTTGTTTATTATTCTGAACCACATCTTTTGAAGTTCAATTCCCTCAACTACAGTCTTTTTCTATGAGTTATGTGATAGGCCTGTTGACTCTAAAGATTGTGGAGGGCAAGACAGCTCCTGTCTGTTACATGCCACACATTCTGGCTTACACCGTGTTTGAAATCACTAAAATACGTATTGTTTGATATGCATAATATGATGGGCATGTACAGTATCTGAAAGCACAGACCTCTTCAGGCATGATGATATGAATGTTGTTACTATTACTAGTAACATGTACAAAGAGCTGCTCCTTCCTTTTGCTCTCAGTCAGTTATCAGATCAAGTGACTACAAACAATAAGAGCACTGAGTCTGGAGCAGCTTGTGCTCCTGACACATGTGCGCCTCACTCAGGAGGACTGTGTGTGACCATCATGGGCCTGAAGGAGCAACACGTTTTTATCAAGAGGAGGAGCTACACTGCTCTCCACCAGTGAAACTGAGGCACATGCGCAGTAGCGTACAATCGGGACTTAAATCTCTTACACAACTGTCTTTTCTTCATTCTGCCTGCATCTCCTCGCCGGTGTGTGGTAACCCTACACGTTACTCATTTTTTGATTGTTCCAATCAAACAACACTTTAGGAAATGAGTGGGGACCAGGTAATGCCATCTCTCGTGGTGAACGGTTATAACATGTAGCTACTGTTTTATTAGCTTTGGTTTGACAAAGATAACTTGGCTAACTGTGGGTACAGTGCCTGCTAGCGCGCGTTAGCCGAGTCATTATGTTGTAAACAGCTTTTTGACACGTTTCATCACGTGTTTGCTTGTGGTGTCACTGAGAGGTGCTGTCTAGTTAGCATTCAGGTTTGAGTAGCTGGTCATTAACTCCAGGTTAAAGTGTGCTAACGCCACATTTAATGTGGCGCTAGCTGTTAGCCAACGTTAGCTTCGGTGTCAGCCGCTAAAGCAATACTACCAGCCAGCGTACCAATGCTAGCCTAAGCTAGCAATGGTAGCTACCAAACTCCCTTTGCTATCCAGCAAGTTCAAAGTTAGTTAGCCGGCTAGTTAGCCACTATGATATTTAACATCCGTCTGTTTTGTGATTTCTTTTCAGATCGACTGTGGCTCTCGTTTCAATGGTAAGTTTGTGACATAAAAGCCGGCAGGTTACAACGGGTGTTTGACATGTCTTCACTGCTCTAAATGTAACGTTACGGGTAGTTTCTCAGCAGTGGACAGAAATGGCGTCCAGAGACTAAGTCCTCTGTCTCACTCTCAAGCGCCTATTGTTCAAAAGGGAGGTATAATAACAGCTTTTCCGATACCTAGTTTCTCGATCCGAATCGGTAGTTGTACTCACCTCGAGGTGTTTTATCAGTTTATCTTATTAGAATTTCTTTATGGTTGGCTTTTAATGTCGTATTTCTCTCCTGAAAGTGAGGGTTTGGGGGTTGAGGACTTAGTCTCTGCGCCATTTTCTTTTTTCTGTGTAGCGGCCTGACTGTAGCTGAACCCTGGCTATGAAGTGCAGACGGCTGTGTGGAGGAGGCATAGTGCTTCATTAAGATCTCACCTAGTGACGAAGAAGTGTGTTGTGTTATTAAGACACAATCGTTAACGCTTTATTATGCCGTACGTTATTTTTATTATAGCTACAGGGACTGAACATTTCCCACATGCTGGAAGAAAGTGAACCGTTTTAAGTTGGATCCACATTTCAAATGTCAACACATGTCAACAACTTCAAGTCATCATCACACAAGTTAGGACGAAACATTTGTTTATTTGAACATCCTGACCATCTTAAAAGTATAAAATGTATTATATTAATATTGCATGCTATTAGGATTTGTCTGTTAAAGGTCAAGAAAACCAATATCAAGTATACGAGGTGGGCACCACCCACATCTATACCAAGAAAACTAAGTTTTAATTTTAAAAAGTCCAGTTAAGCAGGAGTAACTTTCCATGCGACGCATGGGTTATTGATCAGACATTTACTTATCTGTACATCTGTAATGCTTTAAAAGAATCATCCACACAACTAGCAGCAGTCCACTTATTTGGTTTTCATTCATCGGCAGTGGGGCGACACTTGACTGAGACATGAAGCACCTCGGCTTCACTTGTATTAGCCAGAAGGATATTCATTCCCGCCTCACTAGACTAACTTCACAAGATTAACTAGCAACGGTGGCATAATGGCATTATTTTAAACCATTTAATTTACCGGTACAAATTGTACTTTAATGCGTATGTGATGGTGTAGCACAACTTGTCTGCTAGTCAGTCACATCAGTCACCTGTTCTGAATGTTTATTTCTTCTGTGGAGCATTCATCACAATGATTACGTGTGTAACAGAGTGCAAAAGCTCCTGTTCGTTGAAGTTGTATCGCAGTGATTTGGATTAATTCTGAGAGGACGACACACATCAACTCTGTTTATCCACTATTTGAAAATGACAAAGTCAACTAGTTTTACAACGATGCATAAAGCTCCAAGTCTGTTTTTAGGCTTAGCGATTATTTTGAGAACAAATCACTCGGCGATCAAAGAATTTCAGCGTGTATGCAGGTGGTTTGTTCTGACGTACGCGGGGAACATTATGAACAATTAATTTTTACGACATGTTAGAAGACAAAGCAGTTAGCTGACGGGTCCATACTCTAAAGCACGTAGGCTTGATTTAGTGTTTGCACATTTGATGATTGCCATTGTTCCTTCCCTAAGATGTTTAATTTTTTTTATTTCCGGCTGTGGTTTACAAACTAAAAGAGGGTGAAAGCCGGCTGTCTTCTCTGACATGTTTCAACCTGTCTGTTGTTTCATATTGTCTCATAAACAATGAGGCTCGTATTGGGAGCAGTAGGGGGCGCTGTGCTACTGTGTAATAGATTACACAGTCATTCAGATTGTGGTGCATGTTCAGACCTAGTGTCTAGCCATTTAATTCATGTAAAAACACTGCAGGGGGGGGGGGGCTTGGTGCTTCCCAAGTTGTTGGTTGATAATATTGTTTTTCTCGCTATAGAATCATAATGGTCATACTATGGTCATTAGATAGATATTGTACCTAAATGTAGGTACACAATAATAATAATAATAATAATACCATTTCTTCAGTCCATTGTTAGGTTGTTTCAGTCAATATCTTTTACTCTTGAAGAAGCTGACACTTGTTTTCTTCTCAGACTCTCACAAGCATAAAGACAAGTACAAAGAGAAGGAACACAAACATAAGGACCACAAGAAGGATAAGGAAAGGGAGAAATCAAAGCATGGCAACAGGTATGGTGTGTGTGCTTCCACATTCTTCATAAATGCATGTTTCTGGTGGTATAGTTGCTCAAAGTGGACGCACCACTTGATTTTTTTTTTTTTTTGTTGCATTGAATAGTGGAAGGTAAAACAACCGTAATACATTTTTGTATTTATATTTTAACTCAAGCGATCACAAGGAGTCCGCTGACAAAAAACACAGAGACAAGGAGAAGGAGAAGATGAAGCAGAAAGATGGCAGCGCAGACAAATACAAGGACAAGCACAAGGAGAAGAAGGTGAATTACCATGCACATAATTCATGGAGGAAGGAACATGTGGTTGTGCATGTAATGCTGTGATTTTTGGGGTTCATCATGAATCATTCTGCGATATTGAGCTCTGTCACATCATACACATGTACCTACCTGGCTTACAGCTGTTTAACCTGCAATGTACAACATGTACATTTATTTCCAACCTTCTGTTTTAATTATGAAATATTTGCCAAATATGTCCTTTCAGCCAGGACACGGATATGATCAAAAATGGATCACTACATGTGTGACACTTTTTCTGCCCCAGCACCAGAATTTGGTTGGTAAATGCCGTTGCTAAATGTTAAATACAGTCTACCCAATTGCTCTGCAAATAGGGCGACTAGTGTATAATATCAGACAGATTCTTAGTCACTCCTGTATATCTCTAAGCAATGTATTCTCAGTCCGGTGTAGCTAAATGGTTTAGATGCTCTTGCTGCTTCGCCTGAGATCAAACAGAATTGTCAACTCGTTAACGTTTCAGTCGACTCAAACTTGTTGGAGTCGTCGGATTCAAAGGTCTGGACCGTAGCTTCTACCACTCGGAACAAACCAACTGTGTCTTATGCAGAAAGTACTGAAATGTTACATTACAGTCATTTAGCAGACGCTTTTATCCAAAGCGACTTACAATTCAGGTTCTATCACATTCATACACCGTAGGCACAGCTACGGGAGCAATTTTTGGGGTTAAGTGTCTTGCTCAAGGACACATCGACATGCGACTAGCGGAGTCGGGGATCGAACCTCTGATTGATGGACGGCCCTGCTCTCCACTTAGCCGCAGTCGCCCCCGTTAGTTCAGAATTAAAAAATGATTACTCATCAAAATGACAGAATTTGACAACGACTGGACCGTGATGAATCTTTTATAATGCAGACATGATATTTGTCTGCTTTACATGTTTTTTTCTTAACAACTTTGTGTAAATCTTTCAGATGAAGCCCCTTGATGGTAAAGTCAAAAAGGAGAATGGCTTTGCCAGGTATGTATGTACATTTTTATTTAAGTCATTTACCATCAGATGTATTTTTTTAATTTTTTTTTTTTTTTTATACAAAGCCGTTTCTGATTTTGAATGTGTGGTGTTTTTTTTTTTTTTTTTTTTTTTTTTTTTTTTTTTTTTTGCAGCCCTCCACCACAAGTGAAGTCTGAGCCTGAGGATAATTTTTACCACTCTCCTAAACTAGAGAAGTCTCTAAAACGAGAACGGGACGACGAGAACGGGTGAGCGGCTCCTTGCACGTCCTCCGTGTCTGTTTCGTGAGTGTTCGGGTATTTTGTAAAGTTGTCTGGGGCCAAATTTGTAACAAGTTTTTGTTTTTCAGCTCTGAATTCAAGGCCAAAAAAGTTAAGATTGAAAATGACAAGAAGGTCAAGAAAAAGAAACCAGAGGAGGTAAGCGAAGGCTGACTTCAATGAAAAGAAGCCCCTTTTACTTGAACATGTTCTGGAAAGCACAAAATTAGGCATAATTGGACAAGCACAAAAATAGCAGTATCAGCAAAAAAAACACAGACACGTTAGCAAAATAATGCTGTTTCTCTTCCCCTTTTTTTTTTTTTTTTTTTTTTTTTTTTTTAGGATATTAAGCCCAAAAAGACAAAAAACAAAAGGGCAGCTGCTGATGGAAAAAAGAAAGCAAAGAAAGAGCCAGAGGAGAAGTGGAAATGGTGAGTTATTCATGCCAGCTGAACGATACGATGCTTATCAATGCTGAGGTGGATGTATTTCGTGTTGTTGGATCGAGTAATGTTTTGTTTCTCTGGTATATTCAATAATCCTTATTTGATTGAATTATGTGCTTGGTTCCAGGTGGGAGGAGGAGCGATACACAGACGGCGTCAAATGGAAGTTTCTGGAACACAAAGGACCCGTTTTTGCACCACCGTACGAGCCTCTTCCTAGTCGAGTCAAATTTTACTATGACGGTGAGATTGTCTTTCTCAATGGATTCAGTCAAATACTACACCGTTGAACCATGCAATAACACGTCTGGTTTTGTTTCATTTTAGGTAAGCACATGAAGCTAAGCCCAGAGGCAGAGGAGGTGGCCACGTTCTTTGCCAAAATGCTGGACCACGAGTACACCACAAAGGATATCTTCCGCAAAAACTTCTTTAAAGATTGGAGGACGGTAGGAAGAAAGGGCACTTGTAAATAAAAGGACACAGATTTGGTGACATATTTAGAGTCTTGTGAAGTGATTTCTGTTTTTGAGCATCCCATGTTTTGCGGATGCAGGAAATGAATGCAGAGGAAAAGACTAAGTTGACAGACCTGAAGAAGTGCAACTTCAATGAGATGAGCGACTACTTCAAGGCTCAGTCTGAAGCCAGGAAGAACAAGTCAAAGGATGACAAACTGGTAAAGTATTACATTGTATCGAACTATAGAAATCACCCAATGTATCAACCAGCCATACAGGACAATGGTCCAATGTCACGTGTGTTACCTTTTTGTTTTATTCCATAGTTGTATAATTGATAAAACGCTAGCCAGCCACATTAGTCTAAGTCAACCCTGATCCCAAACATTTTTGTGATGAGGATCTGAAGAAGTAATACATAAACAGTTACTTTATGGCAGTATGTTTTCAAATGCACTACCTGGAACAAGTATCTGCCTCATTTGCACTTTCATATTTAGAATTGGAGTGGGTTCCTTCACATTGACACTATCAGATAGAGATCTTATGTGTTTTTGTTTCCTTCCCTTTGCAGAAATTAAAGGAGGAGAATGAGCGGCTCTTGCAGCTGTACGGCTTCTGCATCATGGACAACCACAGGGAACGTATTGCAAACTTTCGCATCGAGCCCCCGGGCCTGTTCCGCGGCCGTGGAGACCATCCCAAGATGGGAATGCTCAAACGTCGCATCAGGCCCAATGACATCATCGTCAACTGCAGCAAGTCAGTTTCCTTTTGTTTTGTTTTTCCTCGCTGTTCTGATGCCGGTGAACGGATGTTTTAAGTTGGTACAACAATGACACTTTTTATTATTGTGCTCCTCACAGGGACTCCAAGCACCCGGAGCCGCCTCCAGGCACTAAGTGGAAAGAGGTTCGACACGACAACAAGGTCACTTGGCTGGTGTCGTGGACGGAGAACATTCAAGGCTCGATCAAATACATCATGCTGAACCCCAGCTCAAGGATCAAGGTGGGCCGAGTACTGCACCACAAGGAGTTTTAGACCTCTTTAGACATCCTTCTGTGTGGGCTTAATGACTACATATCATGGCAACTTCATCGAGAAGCTGCATGTAACTGAGTTAATGTTTCATTGTTTTTATGCTGCACTCTGCAAAAACCTACTAATTTAAGTTCATAAGCCTGCATGTTGACACTGAAGCACAGCCCCGTGTAATCAACGTGTCACTCATTTGTTTGGCTGCAGGGAGAGAAGGATTGGCAGAAGTATGAAACTGCTCGTCAACTGAAGAAATGTGTGGACCGCATCAGAACCCAGTACCGCGAAGACTGGAAGTCTAAAGAGATGAGGATCAGACAAAGGGCCGTGGCCCTCTACTTCATCGACAAGGTGAGGCGCATCATGCAGTTTGAAATGACCACCGGCTTGCTGGACGTTATCCCTCACACATTGTGCAGAGTGTATAAAGCTTTAGGGAGTTATTTTTTTGTTTAAACAATGACTGTTACTTGCGGGGGTGTAGCGGGTGCTTAAACGCTAGCCGCAGTGAGGGTAATGTCTTCTGTAAGCTGGCTTTAATCCAGCTGTCCTGATGCCACTCTAGCTGGCACTGAGAGCGGGTAATGAGAAGGAGGAAGGAGAGACTGCGGACACCGTGGGCTGCTGCTCGCTGAGAGTCGAGCACATCAAACTCTATCCAGAGAACGATGGTCAAGAGTTTGTGGTGGAGTTTGACTTCCTTGGTAAAGACTCCATTCGCTACTACAACAAAGTCCCTGTGGAGAAACGGGTAAGAACTGTAAATCAGCGTGTTATTGTTGTGAGGAAGCAAACTTTGCTTGTGTATTCATGTGTGTTCTGCCTTTTTCTAGGTTTTTAAGAATCTTCAGTTGTTCATGGAGAACAAGGAGCCTGATGATGACCTGTTTGATCGCCTGAATGTAAGCAAAACATAACCTGGGATAGAGAACTATAAATACTTTTTTGGCAGGAATGAAAATTTGGGAAGACTGTTTCTAGAATACCAGAGGCCTGTACTACAAAGCAGGATTCAAGGTTAGCGCAGTACCTTCAGGTTTAAAGGTGCTCGTCCGAGATTGGGAGCTTTTCAGTTGCCTCTCAATGACTCGGCACGTCTGTGGCGACCTGGAGGCTCACGGCTAACGTTTTTGACGAGTCATATCTTATGAATGAACCATTCGGTACAGTCCTACTTGTAATGTTCTCATACAAATTTGATAAATATCTAATATATATCTAGGCTAAACTAATATTAGTAGCCGATTATACGATCTGTAGAATGTAGATTACAGTGGTGGCTGCGTAGGATTGTTTAGACTTGTTTTTCCCGAGCGTTGTAAAGTCAGCATTTATGAAAAGACGGATGTAATTATTTCCAGATTTCAACATGTTTTTGTCTGAAATATTCTGCTTTAGTCCAGATTTCTTGGTGTAACTTTAAAAAAAAAAAAAACATTTTCACTGAGATATAAAAAAGAGAAGTTTGGTCTCCTGCCAGCAGCAGCAAGCGCGTTTCAGGCTTCACAAAGCCGAGCGAAGTCACTTCAGATGGTTTGTGTCTTATGGAGTAGGACCACACACGCACTTTTTTTATCGTGGTGGTGTTTGCAGTCTTTCAATAATTGCATACTACAAAGTCCTGCCAATCATGTCTCTTGGCAATTGGGGATATGTTTAAACAGCTTTATTAAAAATAACCGGCAAGTTTGATGATGTTTGGACAAGCTGTACATTTGGAAATGGTGGCGCCCCACGTTGGGCAATTTAAAAATAGTTTTTCACACATGGTTCAACATTGTCATAAAACATATCCCATAATGTTGTATTGATTTATAGTCTGTGTATTGACACGCTTGTCTTTTGCATTTGTAGCACTCAATTTGAATGACTAGGTGTGTTCCAGGTGTAAATATCCTGTGAGTTTCTTGATTGGCCCAGCAGCTGTTAAGTTAGGTCTATTAATGTGCGGAGCCCCGCCCCCTTGAAGTTCATTGGTCAATATTTTTGCGTTTTGTAAACTGCAACTGTGTTCTTTGTCTAATATAAGTTTGCTCTTTGTTTGTCAAACATGACGGCAGACTTGTCCATGTTTGCGATTGGTCATATGCTGCAAACCCCGCCCCCTTTCACTGTGAACGCGCTCGCAGTCAGATTGAGAAACCCCCGGTTGATGACCGTCGTAGGACCGCTTAGAGGGATTACGGTTGTTGGGAATAATCAAGCCAGATAATGAAAAGATACCCAGGGTATTTTCAACTTGCTACGTAGTACGGGGCCCCGGCGTCTTGTCTTTTTTTTTTAGCACTCAGAAACTAGTTTGATTGTATGATCGTTTCTCCCCCAGACTTCTGTTCTGAACAAACATCTTCAGGAGCTGATGGACGGACTGACGGCCAAAGTCTTCCGTACCTACAACGCCTCGATCACCCTGCAACAACAGCTGAAGCAGCTCACAAGTGGTACGTCTCCACCTGCAGTCAAAGCATCTAAAACCACATTTTCACTTGAATCCAGCTTCATTTAGTCCCGTGTAGAGATGAATAGAAGGTGTAAACATGCATCTGTATCGCTTGCTTTAGATTTAACAGGCTTTTCATTTGTGTGTGAGTGTGAGTGAGTGTGAGAGAGAGAGAGAGACTACTATAATGAATCGATCTGCATACAGAAAACTCATACTCTCCGTCTCTCTCTCTCTCTCTAGCGGAAGAGAACCTTCCAGCCAAGGTCTTGTCCTACAACAGGGCCAACAGGGCGGTGGCCATCCTGTGTAACCATCAGCGGGCTCCACCAAAGACATTTGAGAAGTCTATGCAGAACCTGCAGACTAAGGTTAACAAGTGTTTTTGAATACTTCTGACAGACTCACTCTTTTTGTTTTGGCAAACCTGAGATGGAGGTTTGTTTAGTTAATCTCCCGTTTCACCAAAATTCTGTCAATTGTTTAACTCGAACTCTGGCCCACGGTTGGGGAGGACTGAGCCTTAATGCTACATGCTGTACCCAGTGAGCCACAGACATGCACCTTTTTTTTTTTTTTTTTTTTTTTTTTTTTTTTTTTTTTTTTTTGATCAAACTATAATCATCCATAAAGCATTTTTCATGCGGAAATGCGGTTTCGGCGTCTAAAATATGGAGATTTCCTGCTTTTCTATCATATTAAAGTGAATATATTTGGACCAAGATGATTGGGAACTAGGATGGACATTTTTCACTATTTTCCAGTATTTTATTAAACCATTGATTTATTCTAGAAAACAATTGGCAGATTAATAGATTAGAATTGTCAAAATAATTGTAAATTGCAGCTCATGTCCGGCTTTGTCGGTTTTGAATTTCTACAAAATAGTTCTTGGCATATTTACAGGTTATTGTAGATGACGTTCATGGGCCCGTTCAGTTTTAAGGAATCTGTAGGTTGTTTTTAGGTTGCTGTCAATTTAGCAAGAAGAAGAATCAGCACTTCATTGTTCGTTCGTTCTTTCTTAGATTGATGTCAAACGGGGCCAGCTTTCTGATGCCAAGAGAGAACTGAAGAGCTCAAAGGCTGATGCCAAAGTACGGAGAGATGAAAAATCCAAAAGGTAAGCATCCAAAAGTTTGCTACAGACAAATGGCCGTCTCCGAGGTCAACCTTATGTGTTTTTTTTTTTTTTTTTTAACCAACTGTATGCCGCTTGTCTCTGAAGGACCGTGGAGACGAGGAAGAAGGCGGTTGAGAGGATAGAAGATCAACTGATGAAGCTGGAGGTGCAGGCGACTGATCGGCAGGAGAACAAGCAGATTGCTCTCGGCACTTCCAAGCTCAACTATCTGGACCCTCGCATCTCTGTGGCTTGGTAAGATGATGTACAAAAAAATGTTTTTAAAGATTTCGGGAAAGAATCTCGTGTTGCTTTCGCATCGCGGTTGACTTTCCCTCTGTGGATTCTGTTGTTCGACATAAATCTAACCAGTACCTCAATGAGGAGCGTTTAAAGTGAACTCTGCCCGTCCTGGTCTGTGTCTAGGTGTAAGAAGTGGAGCATTCCCGTGGAGAAGATCTACAACAAAACCCAGCGGGAGAAGTTTGCCTGGGCCATCGACATGGCCGACGACGACTTTGAATTTTAAATCCCAGTTTGTGGTTTTAAACTATGATACACGTTTTTTTTTATCGGATACTTCGTTTTTTAGCTTAACTGAATTTTGCTCGATGGCCAGACCTGATCGGGAAGTTTGATCAGAAAAACAGCGGCGACGCGGTAATGCGAGATAATGAGGCCATAATGACGTGGCAGGAGGGTATTGTGGGTAGTCTAAACATCTGATCTGAGATCAGGCATCAAGGCTGAACTATACCCACAACTGAGCATCAAGGCAATGGTCTCAGTAAGTGGAACCTTTTTACCGTTTGTCTCTCCTCGGGGACGAAACTTGACATTGCCTGAACTTTGAACTCTGTGGTCCTATCGCTACTGTATACAGCAAAAAACAAAACAAAAAAAGCTTTGTAACATTTTATTTTCTCTGTTCACTTGCTCTGTATTTTAGCCCTCCCATGTATTATTATTAATGAATTCTATATTTTGATAGACAAAGTTAAATCAAATGAATTCCTTAACTACACCCACGCGCCTTTCGAGGAAACGGAGATCTTAGCCTGAGTTGTGTGCGTGCGTGTGCGTGTGTGTGTGTGTGAGGGGCTCGGCCATGGAATCGATTGGGTGAATATTTTAAACTGGACTATGTTGAATTGTTGAGCATGAAAGAGGATGTTTTGGCAGGCAAAGGGGGACAATACTGCAAACCATGTCAATATTTACTTAAGCAAGCAGAATGTGAATATTTAGTTTTACAGCCTCCATCAGGGACTTCTTTTACGGTGTAAATGTGAACCAATCATTTGTGTCCTTTTTTTTTTTTTTTTTTTTTTTTAAGTCGCAAGCATCCTCTGAATCTCTCTGCATAGCTCTGTCTACATCTGATTTTAACTTAATTTAACAAATGCTCCCAGAAAAAAACAAACTCCCGTATCTGTTACTTGAAGATAATGCTATGATAATGTATTTAAAGTCATTAAATGGAAAGTGTTTTTCTTCCCAGAAAAAAGGGTATGTGAGGGATATCGACTTTGCCAAAAAAAAATCACCAATCTGTTACAATTTAGGCAGTTCATTTTTTTTTAACGGTGTAAAGATTCAGGATAAAATAATGTAACATTTAATGTGAATTTTATCAGTTCATTTTATTCCACTTTTATGATAGGAACATTGATGTAAGTAGCTGTAAAGTCAACATCTTATTCCTGTTTTATCTTTTGTCATAGCCTTTGATCATGTTTTCTTTGAGTTTTATGCTCATTGTAGGTTGGAAAATGAATAAAACCCTACAAGTACCTTTTTACTATGTATTTTTTATTTATTTTTTGGACCCTTGAACATTTTAGGAAATTAAATTTTCTGAAGGAAGTGTTTTTTCCTCACATGGATGTAAGAACAAGGACCCCAAGTAGCAAAGCTGCTCTTGGACCTGCAGCCTTTGCGGAGGTCTTGCTTGAGTTACAGCGTCCTCAAATACATTTGATCCTCAAATTGTAAGAAGAGCTTAGACTCTGTATATTCTCAGCATTATGTGCAAGGTTTAACAATCATCAGTTTTAATAGATCTAATCTTTTAAATTCAGCCACTCTTAAAGAATACATTACTTTAATAATCGCTCCATGGTGTGACTGGATTCATTACTATCTGGTACATTCCTGTGATTTCTTTGTCCACAAGCGCACACACCTTTCAATTGATAGACGTTCTGGTCACCACCTGCATACAAACGTAGAGCTAAATACCTCACGTTCCCTTGCAGACAAGATAAACGGGTCATTCTACATCCGTTGCCTGTCAGGTTATTCATGTTTCCTCCCCGTAATGCAGCTCTCAGCACACACTGTATTGTCAGCGGCTCACCAGCAGGTGGGGCTGTGCGCATTCCTCCCAACACCAGTGCATTGTGTTTCACATTCATCACACTGAATAATTTGAAAGGTGTCCGTGGCCTAATTCCTATTCACTCCTGGTGCAAGGTGCCGAGCAGTGATGAGACGTTGCTGCTTGGTGAGTATTCAGTTTATTCTGTAAAGATTCAGAAGTGTAGAAAGGATGATACAACAGTGCTTTATGATCGGACCATTTCATAAAAGATTTTTTTTTTTTTTTTTTTTTTTGAGATCATAACACCGTAAGTCCAGATTCCATTTATCTCAAACCAAAATAAATTTGTAACATTCGACACAAGTGCATACACTGCTGGTAGGAGATCAACCTCCAATTTCACTTTGGATGGTATAGCACCGGTCTGAGCTATTAGCAGCTTGACAAAGATGCAGCTTAATAGGATTCATGTAGTGACTGTATGTTTATATAAACACAAGAAAATTCAGAGGAGAGCAAAGATCTCCTCATTTGGCTCTCTAGCTAGCACAACATCTCACTCTGTCAGTGTCGCGGGATCAAATTGATAATTTTGCTTTGAACAACAATTTGCCAGTAACAATATTTGATACAATTACAGCTTAAAGTTAAACATCTCCAAGTGTACAGAAAGCAGCACAAGATTTTTTTTTTTTTTTTTGTTTGTTTTTTTTCCTCACAGATATAGACGAACAGTGACCATTGATGGCATGTTTTTTTGTTGTTTTTTTTTCAGGACAGCACAGTAGCTGGAAAGCAAGGTGATGGACAGACGGGTCATATAAACACACGGACAGAGCTGAATAAGGCAACGTTAGCGTGGCAGGCTTCTCTCTGTTCAGTTTGCAGGGCAGTGTAGTGTATTGATCTTGACGGAGCTGTCAATACCTTCGCTGTGGGGCAGTGTGATTTTTAGCATTGCTGTCTTCATTAGTGCATTGTGTATATAGTCTCTTGCGCGTAGCTGAACTGCAAAGTGATCACCAACATTTATACAGATCTAAAGAAACCATGTTTGATTGCATCTGGACTTACAGTGACTATAGAAGAGTAAATAGAATTGAAAAACCAAATAACGGAAAAAGTAAAATTCAAGGCAGTGCTGAAGTACTGGTTGCTAAAAAAGTAAAAAATATCACAAAGCCAACAATAACATTTCCTTGACACATCGTTTGTTTGTCCAGTTGGTACAAACCCTCTTTAGTGCAGTTTCAATCATATATATATATTTCTCCCTCTGACCAAACAACAATATCTCTCGGTTCTATCCTATCTTCCCTCATTCAAGTCAGTTTTCCAGTCAGTGTGCGTCTTTTCTCGTTCTTGTCTTTGATCCCTCATACTGACCTCATTGTGCACCCTCCCCACACAACCACAAAGAAGCATGAAAGGCTTTAAACATCACAGGACTCAAAGGTGAGAAGTTCTTTCTTTTGACGATGGCAGGAAGTGATGGAAGAGGAGGAGGAGGGGTGGGGGGTATTCACAGTTACAGTCAGAGTCCAACGGTCCAGCTACAATCACATCTGCTGTCATTATGAACACTCTTTTTAGACCACGGCCAGGGGAGCAAACCAGCCTTTAAACGTCATGTTCCTCTGGTGAGATTGGGCCTGCTTCTTCATCACACCTCCAGCAGCTCCATCCTCAGGCGATCCCTATCGGCAACACACACACACACACACACAAAAACACGCAAACGCAACATGCACAAATCGTGAGGACGTGATACGAAAGTTCCTATTGTATTGTATGACTGCTGTACATGTGAGGCACTTCTTGGGAAGGGAGCCTTGTAAAAAGACGCCTGTGTACGGGTTAACTCGCCTCTTGGAAATCCATCTCACCAAAGACAATCGTCATGATTTATTCACGTATATTAGCATGCGCTCTCAATCTATAATTCAGCGGCCCAGACTTCAACTTATCTAAAAATAGCTTCTTAAACACAGACCTTTGATTGCCTGAAAAAGCTACTCAGCATGAGCACCTGTACACACTTCTCCTGCCTCCTTTTTACTGTACATCACGCAACCACGACTACAAACAACCAGCTGTCATGCTTTCATCACTTCCCCTGACTTTGTTGTCTTGATTGTTAAATAGCACTAAGCTGGTAAATTATCGCAAGGCACTGCGAATGAGGAGTGTATCTTACTTTAGGGAGCTTTTATCACACTTTGTAATTTGAGCATTTGGACTGAAGTACCTGGCCTGATTGGCGTCAGTCTGTTCAATGAGTGACTGACTGGCCACTGGCTGCTGGTGGTCCTCTGCACTCTCTGACCAGGAATCCTGCAGGACTCCCGGCTGCGCTGACTCCTCAGCTCGGCCTCGCTCGACAATCCCCTCGGACCCCATCAGACCCAGCAGCGGTGAGTATGAATCCTGCCACACAACCCGCTGCCCCGAGTTCAGTCCTGCTTCTCCTTCAAGGTGCTGGTTCACGTCTTGCTCAGCAAGTTTCTTTTTGGCCGCTGGAGAGTTCTTCGGTGACTCGGCTCCAGCGTCTCCGCGGCTCTTCACTTCCTCCGTTACTGCGAGCGGTTGTTGATAGGTGTCCAGCCACTTCAGGTGTCCGTTCTTGTGACTGTACCGGCTGTCGCTGAACCAGCGCACCACCTCTGACTTCGGAAGGCCTGTCTGGACGCTCAAGTCCTCGTACTGCTGACTGCTGGGCCAGCGGGTGTTGAAGAAAACCTGCCGGAGGATGTGCAGCTGCTGGGGGGACTTGTTGGCCCAGTTGGGTGAGAAAGACGTCTGAGAAGGAGACACCTCGGTTATGTTAGACTTATGATCTTGATGTACAATCTCACATGTAGTATCTGGTTCATTCATCTTCACCCTCTTGAAGCTGATCTTGATGGGGTCAATTTTCAGCTCTGGGCAGCTTCTGTCCCCAGCAAACGGGTCCTCGTCATTGATGAGTTGCTGTAAGATTGACATACCTTTAATGGGAAAGTCCTTGTTGCATTTACCCTCATCTAAAATAGATGAGCTGCTTTTTGTAATTATCGTAGTGCTGGTGTTTTCAGTTGGGGATTTGCTGGTATGGTTCAGGTTTGGGACATTGTCATTACAGGTAGTACTGGGGTATTCATCGCTAATACTGCTGTTGTTGGTCTTGTGGATATTGTTGTTGCGTTCGTCGTCAGGCTTCGCGGCGTGGGCCTGCTCTTGTGGACTGATGGTGCCGCTGTTATGATTGTTAAAGGTGAAGTTGGATTTGCTGGTGTTATCGATGTTCACTTGGCTCTTGGTACCGTTTGAACCTTCCAATGCGATTGGTAAACTGTTGCTTTGGGCATTTGGTTTCCCGTTGGTGTTAGCAACACAGGGCTCATCGTTATTGCTTATGTTGGTAGAGCAAGTGGCGATGCTGTTGATGCTGTTGGTTGGGCTGCTGTTATGCAGCAGTTTCCTGGTGACCACCATCTCACCACCATTACTACTGCTGGAATAGCTGCTAATGCTGCTGCTACTACTGCAACTACTGCTGCTACTGCTGCTTCGACTGCTGCTGGTGCTACTGACACAACCACTGCTTCCAGCCATGTCCAGGCCGAGGCCGTTCCTCTTGTCTGGCTCCACAGTGGGTTGAGTATTCTTGGTCAGTGCCTGTGCTGTTCTGACTATGGATGGAAACTTTGGGGGAACAATTGGAGTAGAATACGAAACCCGAGTGACATGTGGGTTTGTTGACATGCTTGTTTGTGTGGCTGTGACTCTGCCAGGCCCGGTTGTCATAGTGCTGTAGGGAACTTTGGCCATCTGAAAGTTTGGTCCTTTTGAGCTTCCATGGACAGTGTGGTGGGTTACAATGTGATTCACGTGCCGTTGTGCAGCAGGTTGCTTTTGGGGTGCTCCGCCCTGGAACACTGTGTTGAACATCTTCCTCCTGGCCTCTTCGATCTCTTCAGGAGACCAGCTTATGCCCTGCTTGAGCCTTTGGGCAGTAAACCACAGTTTGATCTGCTCTTCTGGGAACTCGGAAACTACCGTTAGGTAGCAGAGTTCGGCTTTGGTCGGGTAGGGGAACTTGCCAAAGGACGTCTTGAGAAAGCTGCTGGTGTCCATGGCGGCATCATAGGTGGGGATGCTGCTGAGAGGGATCATCACCTTTGGAAGGTCTTTATTGGAACCAGAGGAGGGGGGGGAGTAAAGGGAGGGAGTGTGCTGGTGAACGACTTGGTTGGACACTGTCGTTTTAATCACATGAGCGACAGTGGTCCTCGGCATAGCTGGGGCACCAGAAACACTGAGAGCTCCGTTTTGGAGTTCAGGCACATTTGTCATCATGCTGGGATCTACATCCTTTCCAGTGTCTATCTTCCGTACCTCCACGGTGTGAGAAACCACAATCTTTTTGTGTTCCCCCTTGGCTTTCATCATCTTTGCAATCGGAGTTTTGGTGAGGGAGATCCCAGATTCTTTGAAGACTTCTCCGCTGTCTGTGAAGAGGCTTTGCTCCACTGTGGTTAGTCCATCCCTCTTGTTGACAGTTAGGGAGGCAGTGACCAAGCCCTCCATTATCTTAGGGTGGGCATTAGCGTTATGCAGAGCCAGAGCCTCAAAGCGGACAACTGACACCCCACAGTTCAGGCAGTAGAATGTGGGCTGAGCCCTGAAGTCTAAGTGGCAATTGTGCATGTGATCCAAAAAGTAGTTGAGATCCCTGGACTCGAAACGGCACTTTGAACAGCTGTATGTGCCTCCCTTCTGCATCTCGCTGCCACAATCGGATTTGGAGGAGCTGTGAGAGAAATGGCCAGACTCTTCTCCGGAGATGCTGAGTATGCTGTCTTCTGGGATTGTTGGTAGGAGTTCTGGTAGCGATCCCAGTATGATTTCCTCACGCACATGTTTGGATTTGGATGGTATCATGCAGGGTACAGTGGATTTCCTCTTGCTGGCCATTGTGCAGCTTTGTGTAGATGGCAGAGTGAGTGATTGCTTGTTCGGTATGATGAGAACAGAGGGTGGATGGTGAGTGGAGAGGGCTGAATGGAGTTTAGTGTCATGGACCAGCCACTATGATATCACAGTGTTGCTTCATGCCCTCTGCCACGTCAGGACTCCTGTCACATGGACAAGTTTAACAGCTCCCAGGGAACCTGTGAGGAAAGAGCACAAAAAAAGAGAGACATGTGACTCTCTCAGCCCATCTTTAATTCAGTCATTACGGAACAAAATGGCATTGTCAAAATTACTAAAATTAAAAACATGTCATATATGGATAGAAGTTTTATAGTCTCTGGTTTCAGAAAATTAAAAACATGAAATATTCATAAATACATACTATAGTAAGCTGGGCGTAGAGGAAGGTAAAAGGCCCACACAGGGTTGTAAGTGTAGGAGGAGATACAGTGTGATAAGTGTAGGTGGTATTTATCAGCAATCACAGCTCTACAGTAAAAGAGCCTCTGGCTTTTCTTTTTTTCTCTTTTTTTCTTTTCTTTTTTAATCCTTTTGCATTATGCTAATAATGAAAAATAAAGGTTACATTAAATTACCACACCAGAAGAACTAAAGTGGATCTAGCTCACTAGACACATTATTTTTTAATTTGGCTTCAGAGTTCATGAACAACATTATGGCTGATTTCCTAAATGTTGAAAGCTATTTAACACTAAATACATGAAGGACATTTGCAAAGTAACATAATAGAAACCTTTTAGGTCACAACACTGACACACTCCTTCCATCAATGCAGCCTGTCAATGTTCTGGTTATTTACTTGGATTTACAGACTTCTGTCTCGCTGTCGCTTTTAATGAATTCAGAAAAAAAGAGCATGGAAATCAGAAATGACAGTCTAATTCACTGTTGCCATATGTTTGGACTCCTCTTATTAGTGATGGCCCGTGTCCACATAGTTATTTTTAGTAAAGCTAAAACATAATAATGCCGTTTGGCACCAAGACTAGAACTAAAAGTTAATATCACATGAATGTGATGTGTTGTGTTTGAATCGGTGTTATTTGTTGCCAGATGCCACCTGCTTCCCTCCAGGAAAGAAACAATATCAGTAAATAAATATCATCCACAGACTACTTTGGAGATTTTGCACCTATTGAGTGGGATGCACTTCACCACTCACAATTGATAGTGCCGGGTGTATCTCACCTTACCAGCTGTTCCACATTGTCTGCAGCAACCACAAATATGCAAGAAATATGCAAACAAGTATGTGTTTGTCTGCAAACATATTTCCTAAACTTGTCTTACCGGTATAATTGTTTTAAATAATGTGTTTTTTCTTAAAGGGGGACATTTTTTTTCTATTTTATATGACAGAAAAATGTCACATGGGGTCGTGGTGTCTTGTTTGTCTTTGGTTTGATTTTGTAAAACAGACATATGAAGGTTAAATGACTTTACTGGAGAGATCGAGCATTTTACTGCCACACTTGGATGGGAGCCATATGTTTTACATTGGACGTTACAGTGTACCTTCCCGGCATAATGTTGTGTCAAGAAGAGAAATCAGGTTGTGTGTGTGTGTGTGTGTGTGTGTGTGTGTGTGTGTGTGTGTGTGT